TCGGATCTTATTGCAAGCATACAAACATCACATTTTTACTAAAATTCTTGTATACATTTTTTCACTAGATCCGAAAAGAACTCAAATATTCAAAGGATTATCCATCATTCATTATTGTGAGAAAGAACATTCACTGGTTCCATCCTTTCTTGGGTGACTCATTCGTTCTATTTACTTGAATGTCATTTATTGTTGTTCATCAATATTTAGTGCTACATTATTTTCTTTGACTTCTTCAATATTGTTGTGTGCTGTCGTCGCCACTAAAATATTCCTATATAGTATTTATTGAACTTCTGAGAAATTCATCTTTGGGATATTATTATTAACTAAGATTAACCCTCAATTATATAAATTTAATTAGTTGAACCAAAATCTATATTTTTTGGTCAACCAAGAAAAACTACACCACAAATTAATAAATACACATTTGCCAAATATATAAGGGCGGATCTACATAGAGCCAAGGGGTGCGCCGCCAGCCGCAGACCTCGGTCGGAACTCTGTGTATATATCTATATATGTACAAAAAAATATTGTACATATAATAAAATGGCACCCTAATGAACAAAACAGCCGCTCGCTGCCAATGGTAAATGCCCGAAAATAACTCCCTAAAAGCGCGAGTTCAAGACTACTGCAACACATATAATTGTTGGAACTTTTATTAGTACCATTGGATAATTAATGTGAGGTGTACGAACAGTTCGCTTGTTATCTTTTTTATTTATTATTTATTTTACTTTATTACTAATACTTTTTGACTTATTTAGTATTGTTTGACTTTTCTATTGTGCTTTCTTTTGAATACATTAAAATAACAAAAGCTCCATTATTTTTTCAAAAACTTTTTCCACCCAAAACCCTTCCTTGCTATGGTGCTGCTGCTCCAAAGTTGAGGACTCTTGGATTTTCACTTTTTCAGTCCGTCACTCACTAGCAACCGACCACCACCATTTGGCGTCCACTTTTCCATCGCACCTCACCTTGTTGCTGCACCACTGCTTTGTAATTTGACTGTAAATCTCTCTTATTCTCTTGCTTTTTTTTTATTTATTTTTTATGTTGGATTTCTCTGAAAATAAATTTTTTGGTGGTATTGTTAATATTTAATAGTATAGACTTACAAGTTATTACACCCCTTTGACTCCCTTGTCTTCCTTTTATTCAATGCAGATTTAATATTTTTCTCTGTTCCGATTATACTTTATTGTGTTAGCTTTTGTATGATTATACTTTATTGTATTTAGTTTTTCTCTGTTCCGATAATACTTTATTGTGCATATTGTTCTCTTGAATCTCTAATTGTATTAGCTTTTGTATGATATTTGAAAAGGTAATTAATGATACTATCATTGACCGTTTTCAAAATATGAAAATTCGTCGAGGACAACTGTAAATGAACGATGTATATGTATGTTTTTAGGAACATGTTCCCTATAATAGAAAGAGATACAATGATATGGGACATGTGATATCCATTTGTAAAATACACATTGATTTTAGAGAGAGAATCGGATCTTATTGCAAGCATACAAACATCACATTTTAACTAAAATTCTTGTATACACTTTTCCACTCGATCCGAAAAGAACTCAGATATTCAAAGGATTATCCATCATTCATTATTGTGAGAAAGAACATTCACTGGTTCCATCCTTTCTTGGGTGACTCATTCGTTCTATTTACTTGAATGTCATTTATTGTTGTTCATCAATATTTAGTGCTACATTATTTTCTTTGACTTCTTCAATATTGTTGTGTGCTGCCGTCGCCACTAAAATATTTCTACATAGTATTTATTGAACTTCTGAAATCTTCATCTTTGAAATATTATTATTAACTAAGATTAATCCTAAATTATATAAATTTAATTAGTTGAACCAAAATCTATATTTTTTGGTCAACCAAGAAAAACTACACCACAAATTAATAAATACACATTTGCCAAATATACAAAGGCGGATCTACATAGAGCCGAGGGGTGCGCTGCCACCCGCAGACCTCGGTCGGAACTCTGTGTACATATCTATATATGTACAAGAAATATTGTACATATAATAAAATGGCACCCTAATGAACAAAACAGCCGCTCGCTGCCAATGGTAAAGGCCCGAAAATAACTCCCTAAAAATGCGAGTTCAAGACTACTGTAACACATATAATTTTTGAAACTTTTATTAGTACCATTGGACAATTAATGTGAGGTGTACTAACAGTTCACTTGTTATCTTTTTTATTTATTCTTTATTTTTCTTTATTACTAATTACATTTTGACTTATTTAATATTGTTTGACTTTTCTATTGTGCTTTCTTTTGAATATATTAAAATAACAAAAGCTCCATTATTTTTTCAAAAACTTTTCCCACCTAAAAGCCTTCCTTGCTATGGTGATGTTGCCCTAAAGTTGGGGACTCTTGGATTTTCACTTTTTCATTCCGTCACTCACCGGCAGCCGACCACCACCATTTGGCGTCCACTTTTCCATCGCACCTCACCTTGTTGCTGCACTACTGCTTTGTAATTTTGACTGTAAATCTCTCTTATTCTCTTGATTTTTTTTTAAAAAAATTTTATGTTGGATTTCTCTGAAAATAAAATTTTTGGTGGTATTGTTAATATTTAATAATATAGACTTACAAGTTACTACACCCCCTTTGACTCCCCTGTCTTCCTTTTATTCAATGCAGATTTAATTTTTTTCTCTGTTCTGATTATACTTTATTGTGTTAGTTTTTGTATGATTATACTTTATTGTATTTAGTTTTTCTCTGTTCCGATAATATTTTATTGTGCATATTGTTCTCTTGAATCTCTGATTGTATTAGCTTTTGTATGATATTTGAAAAGATAAGTAATGATATTATCATTGACCGTTTTCAAAATATGAAAACTCGTCGAGGACAACTGTAAATGAACGATGTATATGTATATTTTTAGGAACATGTTCTCTATAATAGAAAGAGACACAATGATGGGGGACATGTGACATCCATTTGTAAAATACACTTTGATTTTAGAGAGAGAATCGGATCTTATTGCAAGCATACAAACATCACATTTTCACTAAAAGTCTTGTATACACTTTTCCACTGGATCCGAAAAGAACTCAGATATTCAAAGGATTATCCATCATTCATTATTGTGAGAAAGAACATTCACTGGTTCCATCCTTTCTTGGGTGACTCATTCGTTCTATTTACTTGAATGTCATTTATTGTTGTTCATCAATATTTAATGCTACGTTATTTTCTTTGACTTCTTCAATATTGTTGTGTGCTGCCGTCGCCACTAAAATATTCCTACATAGTATTTATTGAACTTCTGAAAACTTCATCTTTGAGATATTATTATTAACTAAGATTAACCCTCAATTATATAAATTTAATTAGTTGAACCAAAATCTATATTTTTTGGTCAACCAAGAAAAACTACACCACAAATTAATAAATACACATTTGCCAAATATACAAGGGCGGATCTACATAGAGCCGAGGGGTGCACCGCCACCCGCAGACCTCGGTCGGAACTCTGTGTATATATCTATATATGTACAAGAAATATTGTACATATAATAAAATGGCACCCTAATGAACAAAACAACCGCTCGCTGCCAATGGGTAAAGGCCCGAAAATAACTCCCTAAAAGCGCGAGTTCAAGACTACTGCAACACATATAATTTTTGAAACTTTTATTAGTACCATTGGACAATTAATGTGAGGTGTACGAACAGTTCACTTGTTTTCTTTTTTATTTATTCTTTGTTTTACTTTATTACTAATACTTTTTGACTTATTTAATATTGTTTGACTTTTCTATTGTGCTTTCTTTTGAATACATTAAAATAACAAAAGCTCCATTATTTTTTCAAAAACTTTTCCCACCCAAAACCCTTCCTTGCTACGGTGTTGTTGCCCCAAAGTTGGGGATTCTTGGATTTTCACTTTTTCATTCCGTCACTCACCGGGAGCCGACCACCACCATTTGGCGTCCACTTTTCCATCGCATCTCACCTTGTTGTTGCACCACTGCTTTGTAATTTGACTGTAAATCTCTCTTATTCTCTTGCTTTTTTTTATTTATTTTTTATGTTGGATTTCTCTGAAAATAAAGTTTTTGGTGGTATTGTTAATATTTAATAGTATAGACTTACAAGTTATTACACCCCTTTGACTCCCTTGTCTTCTTTTTATTCAATGCAGATTTAATTTTTTCTCTGTTCCGATTATACTTTATTGTGTTAGCTTTTGTATGATTATACTTATATTCCGATAATATTTTATTGTGCATATTGTTCTCTTGAATCTCTGATTGTATTAGCTTTTGTATGATATTTAAAAAGGTAAGTAAATACTATCATTGACCGTTTTTAAAATATGAAAACTCTTCGAGGACAACTGTAAATGAACGATGTATATGTATGTTTTTGTTTATTCGAGGATGAAAGAATTATGTATGTCTTAGTTATTAGTTGTAGTGACCATCTGATTATGGTAGTATTTTGTTAATTGAAAGATATTTTCAGGTGTCAAAGAGGAAAGAAGTGGTTGTCTTTTTGTACCTTTCATGTAGAAGAAATTTTATAATATTGATATTATTGCTGAAAATTTTATGATGTGCGCTAAGTTGTCATAATTTATTTCGTTCGATATATTTATCTATATAAATCGAAAAGAAGAATAGCTCGAACCGAAGCACAAAGTTGATCAAACCGACTAAATATTTATCCTATTTGGACCGTATAAATAATAATACATCTACATATAAAATAATATGGCACCGGAACCTTCAAATCCTAGATCTGCCTCTGCTTATGTAGAGAGAGAACATGGATATTACAAAGTAGAGTGAAAGGAATTCAAATGCTTCCTTCAGATAGTACATTGCATGAAATTCATAACAGTAGCACAAATACTACTACTTATTAACTTGAATAAACGAAATTAATATACACTTCACTTAGATTTTTTAATAGAAAATGCTCTGAATTTTTTTTCTTGCAAGCAAATGCGGTGTAACCGTAGGTAAGGCTGCATGTTTTCTTCGTCTCATTACTTGTTGGAGCCAAAGATTTGCATCCTGCATCATATATCCAACGAGAAACGTTAACAATTGCTATTTCGATACTTAGCTTGGACTAAAAAAATATTTACTTAGTATACATGGAGAATATTTGAATCATATATACAACGAGATACACGAATAGCTCTAGGAAGAATATAGGTATTAACAGAGAGTATTATTTTTACGAAGGAGAAAACGAATGCCTTGCAGTTTCTACTTTTACATTCCCAATTTCTGATGAATATAGGATGTACCCCGTCAAGAAAGACAAAAATCTTTGTTTCCTTAAGTAGTACTCCATCAGCTTTTAACACATTTGTCCGGTCGAGCAAATATAATTAAAATCGATACCCAAATATATATAAAATATACTCCGATTATGTATATTATACATGAATATAAAATATACATTCTCCTTCTATTATGTTGGGGATTGGCTACACTGTGCAGATTCTCCTTAATTAATTTAAAACGTGCAATATAATAACAACAGTATTGTTTCCTAATATGTAACCCCCTGACCCTGCCGCGATTACTTCATAGAAGGAGTTGGACGATATCTACCTTGCTTGCTTGAAACTCGATTTAGATTTTTTTTTTCCTCGTCTGCTACAGGTTTGAAGTATTAAACTTAATTTGTCTATGTGAGTTCGCAGCAATAGTCATTTCTAAGCTCAAAGAAAGAAAGAAAGTTGCTATAGCTAATTAACGAACAATATAAAATTATTGTTTTCTTATAATGGTGGTGTCCGAAAAAAGTCAACTTCCAATTTCCATATCCCTCCACTATTCTATCGAGTACATCTTACTGCCTCTCATTAGTAAATATAACAAGTAACTCTCTATATTATGGCATGAAATAATCAATCTTGATTTTATCATAGTAAAGACGATTAATTAATGGCATACCTTAGTTGATGCTAATTATTAGTAGTGCCTCCTCCAGTGTAGATGGGGAAGGGAACCCCACCATTCTCAATAAACATGATATCATGGACAAGTACTTCATAATGTCGTTTCACTTCTGCAGCTGTTTTGCCTCCTCCTACGGCTTTGGCAACGTTGGACCAACGGTCAGGAGTGTCTTTGTCATACACTGCCAATGCCTTCTCAAATGCCTTGTTTTGCTTTGCAGTCCATGATCCTTGGGCTTGAGAACTAGACATTGAACTCGACGCCTTTTTTTTTTATGCTAAAAGAGACTACTACTTAATTTATTAAGCTAGTGAAGAGCTGAGTTTGTGCAATTGAAGTGGCAAAGGCCTCCTTCTTATATAGGCTCCAGAATTAGAGGAGTGGGCCAGTGGGGGAAGGAGTGTGGGGTCTAGAAAGTTATTCCAAGAATTTAGTGATTTGTCTTCCTAGGAGCCACAAGAGGAACACGACTAAGAATGCTAGAGCAAGCACATTGAGCTAAGATTTTGAATTTATGATTACTCGATACTAAAAACGTAATTTATTGAGTTTTGGATAAATGTTTATACATACTAAGTGAATTTTATAGCACGAATACAAGGTCTGAATTAAAGGTATTAGCCCATAAGCAGAACTATAAGCTCCGTCCCTGATAAAGCATATGCAATTATGTATGAGTCGTGGTAGCAAAATGGTTAAAAGAAAATAATTATTCACACATGTTATTCATTAAAAAATGGGTTAGATAATGAACTTTTTAAAAATGAAGTCAAATATGGATAATAACCATATTATCCATTTAGCCAATGGATAACTATGGATTTAACTTTTACATTTGTAAAGCCTCAAATTGGGAGTTCTTCAAACTTGGGAGACTAGGAATTCTCCCAAAAGTGATTATATTTAAGAAGTCATAAATAATATGGATATCCATATTATCTGTCAGTTAACTCGTTCTTTATCCGTATTATATATGAGTCGGGTCGGATAATTTATCCGTTTTTACATCACTCATTTTTTATCCTCTCATATCTGATCCGACCCGACCCAACCCTCCCGTTTGCCATCCCTATGCATGAGCATAGAGAATTAGTATTTTTCAGTTATATCCCACAGAAGTAGTTTTATGAATGAGTCCCTTCTTTTGCTTCACTTAAATCTGAAAGGAAAAATAATAATAACAATTACTATACTTCGATCTTAACCAAGTTATTAGAGTCGGTTATATGAATTATCACGATTGCTATTACTTCAGCTAAGTTCATCTTAATATAAGTCCAGTATTATATAAGATGCAGTTGAAATAAAAGGCACCAGCAGTTCAACTATTGGAGTAAATGTATTGACATAACTACAATTTAATCCTGACTAATTGACATTGCGTACGTATAGGGGCGGACCTAGAGCATTGAATACGAGTTTCCGGGAACACAATAACTCTTGCGTAGACCTTATATTTATATTAAAAAATTCACTAAATATTTATAAATATCTAATTGTGAACTAAGTTATTATTGCATATTAATTTGAAATTACGGTAGAAATTCATAAGCCTCAAATCATGAATCCGTCTTAGGCACATAGAACATTTTCTTTCATTGCACCCTTTTTGTTATATCTGCTTGAATAGAAAGGAAATGTCATAAAGCTTTCTGTTAAAGCTCTTTCCTTGCACTAGTTTTTGCTCAAAACTAAACGGATATAATACTAAAGGGAGTATTAAAAGTCACATAATCCACTTCATAGTCTAAACCTAATTAAGATTTTACTAGTCCTTTTCTTCCCACATATGGCATATAATTACTAACGTTATCCTATTAGATTTAGTCACATGGTTGGTTTATTGGGATTGCCTAATAATTCTATTATAGTAATTAGATGCACCTAATATTTTTATGTTAGTCCCTTTATGAATAAGCATGCCATATTGCCATTTGACCAAAAAATCAGCACAGAAATCTCATCACTAGAGTGTTATTGCCAAAATTTCTCTAATTATACCCGAACTAGACTCCTCTGTTTGAAGTTGTGTTTTATTTTCCTTTTTAGTTTATTTCAAAAAATAATATTTTTTATATTTACTAACTCTTTAATTCTAATAGTATTTCACATGACCTATTTAAAATGATAAGATTCAAAAGATATCTTAGTATAGTACAAATATTTTGTTTTAGACAATGAGACTCAACAATCGTTTTTACTTTTTAAAATTTTATGACTGTCAAAAGATTTCACGAGGGTGCACTATCCTACTCTTTTGTTTTACTAGCTAGAGCTAGAGCTGGCCTTTCTGGGCGTCTATACTATGCTCTTATCTTTTCTTTGATGCAGACAGAAGAGATATGATCTTTTGTGTACAATATTTTGTTTGTATACTTTGTCTAGAAACAACGTTCCAATTTCCTAAAAGCTGACCACCACTTGTTTCATCCGTACAATGATGGTGTTATGTTTTAATCACCTGAAATGGTTAACACGTGTGACCTACTACTTAGCAAAAATGGATTATTGGACCCTATGAATCCTGAGTCCTAGTGTTTTTAAGCTAGACCAGTACAAGATTTCATAATTATAAATATGTGGAAAACAAAAGGAAGCGTGCTTCATTCATTGTGAAGATTGATGATTTCCTTTTACTTGTTCTTGTATCTTATAGCTACCAGACATGATCCTCTGATTGCATTTGCACTATTTACACAAAGTTCCTCCTTTCAAATCTGCATAACATCTATTTCCAGTAAAAATTACGACACTTGTATGATTTTGATTCTCGATTAGGCTGCTTGAATCTCATTCACAAACAGAAACGGATTCAAAATTTAGATTCTATGTGTTTAACTTTTAAGGTTTATAATATTAAACCTATTGTAATTTTAAAATTATGGGTTCAGACCTCAATTTTATGAATTTTTACTTATAAATTTATGTTTCACTTAGAAAACACTAGGGCTCGAATAAATCCAGCTACCAAACTCTATCTCCGCCCCTATTCACAAATTAAGATGTATGGCAGCTTACTTAATTAGTCAATTATTTAGTTTGGTTCAGGTTATATATCGTGAGGTGCTAATCATTTCTAGCGGTATGGAATAAAGGATTGCAATAATAATATATATACGTTTGTATCATATTCCTCTGAATAAGTCTGATACAAACTTAGGGACCGTCAAACTGTATAGAGAATCAGGTTCTCTATCAGTTTCCACAGAACACACACAAAGAGAGATAAGTAAATAACACAGCACAGTTTTACGTGAAAAATGCCCAACTTATAAGATTAAAAATCACGACCTACACTCGTAGGATTTCAACTTCATTAACCGAGTAACTTTAGATTACAACCTATTGTAACCTAGGAATTTTACTCTTAATCCCTCACTCACTTGTAATAACTCTATTACAAGCCCCTTTGTAATAACTCTATTACAAAGCTCACAACTCGACTAACTTTTGCCAGGACACAAACACAAGGTCTATTGTTTTACAATTGGTTTCCTACACAATACTTCTAGCTAAGCTAAGTAGGAATTACACGTAACTCACTCTAACAAAGGTACAACATAACTAAGGACATATAATAACACAATGCTGGAAACTTGTCCTTCGTTATATTGTTCTTTGTTCTTGAAGCTTGGAAGTCACTTGCAAAATGACAACACACTTGAGAGAGAACTTGATTAATTCTCGGATGTGCAAGTGTATGTTTTCTTCATTGCTTCATGTTAATAATATCCAAGTGATGTCACTTGGATGATGCAAGCAATATCCGGTACAAAGCATATCTTACAAGGTGGTTGCTGCACTGGTCACACTATTGCGTGTGTGCAGAGGAACATTTGCAGCAACTTTACAACTATGGGCAGTTGACTGGTACAGTCAGCAAGGGAACTGATGTATATCTGTTCCCTCTGTCATCTCTTTGACTCTGATTGTTGGAACTTATGCCAAACTTGAGACTTGTTATTCCTGAGCACTTTGAGGATGTGTAACAGGTTCCACATATGGTTCTTATCATTAAGTTTGTTGCATCATCAAAAGATAACATGGCACATAACCTATCAATTTTCCCCTTTTTGATGATGACAAACTTGTAATTGATGTTCCCCTTGAGAACCATAGTACCATACATATTTCCTGTATTCCCCCGGAACTCGCTCCCCCTCAATTAAACATCCCCCTTTTGGCATCATAAATAGATTAGTTACAAGTAATAAGCAAAAAGAAGTCTAGCATGGTTAATTCATGCCACATATGTGCACATAAACATGACTAAGAACAGAGCAAAAGCGCAAAGCATACATAGCAAAAAAACCGGATATTCATTAATTGAAAAGGGAGCAGAATTAGCAGTACCATTTGTTACATAACAAACCACAAAATGAAACAATAGAAAAAGTACCACCCACTAAACACATCAAAACAAAAGGGCCAAAACAGAGGACAAACAACTTAGAACTGGACACTAGGAAGGGGGCGATGTTAAGGAGCACTGGAAGGGGGAGGCAGGGATGAAGAGGCAAGCGTGAGAAGTAGAATATCCATTTTGACATTTGCAGAAATTTGCTCGGTGAACAGTCGCTCCTTCAGGTCCTTGACCCGTTTCCTGAGATCAGCGTTTTCTTTAGACAAACGGGCAATCTTTATGCCTTGTGCACTCTTAGAACCGAGTGCCTCCTGAGCCTGACTAAGTTGTCCCTCAAGAATAACATTCCGTGCCTTCAACTTTTTTATCTCTTCATTGGAAACATTTTGAGCCTCAATCAGTTCAGAGACAGTGGAATTGCTTCCGACCCCTCCTTTCTTATCAATGCACTCACACTTTTCTAAGGTGTTCTTGGAGAAGTTTTGTTTGCGAGTACCAACTATAGCTTTTCCCAAAGGTACTTTAAAGAAGTTAAATACCTTAGTGAGTAAGAACCCGTAGGGCAACCCATGATTACCATCCTTAAAATTTGCTACTTTCTTCATGTGCTCAATCATGATACCCGGCAAATTGATAGTGGAGTAGGCATCAAGTGCTTCCATGAGGAACATGTTTCGAGACGTAATGGAATGCCTTTCTATGCGTGGAAGCAGAACCTTGTTCACCATCTCAAACAATAGGTGGTACACTGGAAGTAGGGCCTTCTTGTGTACCTGTTCCCTTTGTTGTACTGCATCATCCTTCAAAATGGCATTTTTGAAGTTTGGAGAACAAGTCCCCTCAATGGATGATATTCCACCAGTAGGCACTCCTAGAATTGTTCCCAACACAACCTCATCCATTACAAAATCAACACCATTCACTTTTAGGTATATGTTATCATCTTCTACCGTGAACATAT